TCAGCTCAGTTTGCATAATATCGCAATAACAGGTGTCCTTAAAATGGGCAAAGTTCTTGCAAGTACAATTTGTCATAGACAAGAATAAGCCTAATCCTAAGCGACTGAGCCCAATATGCCCAACTATCATCATAAATAATCCTAAATGATTCGCAAAGCGAAACGAACAGTTTGGGCATTAATTCTACACCCAGAAAACATTGAAAATTTTATAATCCTTAAGCTTTCCATTTCGAGTAGTTGTTTTTTTTTGTGCAATTATCCCATTCCTCTCCCTTCACACAGAGATGTGGTTACGAAACCTAATTAAATTGCAAAAATATACAGAACCGAGAGCAAAAACCACGGCTTCTGCAATGTCGAAATAAAATTTTAAAAGGGAAATATCGGCGATCCAATGACACATTATCGCAACACACATTCATTCATGCATCAGTAGTCAAAAAAAACTCGATACAGATACGTAAGAGACCTACTTACATACGGTGTACCTTCACCATGTCACAAATATGGCCTGAGACAACCACTTTCTATTTCTCACAAGTGAATTCGTCGCGCCGACTTTTTTCGCATTTTAATTAAGGATTTTCGATATTGTGTCCTCAAAATCTACATTCCCCTTTAAGAACCGATACGTATTTACATGATTGGCTTTTAGTTTAATTAATAATTGGCCAGCAGTTTTGTCTTTGCTTGCAATCAGCCGTATTGCCAAAAGTAGCTTAATCCATCCAAAGGGAAAGCTGTAAAGCAAAATAATACTTGAAGTTTGGAAACATGTAAAAACTGTGTGAATCACCACCCACTCGGTGAAGCAAATTGTTTTCTGAATATTTGGATTTTCTTGTTTAACCCAAAGGACTAAACCATAGGAATCGTTGTCTACTATCGATCTTTTTTACAAAATTGGACGGTTATTTGCTCTACCTTCTTCTATCTATTGTACGCGTAATACTTTAAGAAATCACTTTTCTTAAATAAAGACGTTAGACGTTCATGACCTTAAATTTCCGCCCTACGGAAATAAAATGCAATAAACGATTATTTTAGGCTCCTATAAAGTTAGCAGGTTATTTTTGATATTCATTCCAGCGCGTTATATTCTTCTTTGGCGTACAACGAGGTCTGGCGAAGGAAATTGATGAAAAAAATCCTATGAGTAAAATCAATGTCATGTCCAATGATTACGAAATTAATATTGAAGAAACTACTAAAAATAAACCGGGAAATTTATTCAAATATTGCTTTACAAAGTACAGCTGCTGTTACCCAAAGCACATCAGCTTTGATTTCTATAAAGGAACTATCAACTGCAGCCCATACTGGCTTCTTCTTTCTAAGCTGATCTCTGTCAGTCCATATTAGGATCATTTCTAGCTGGTCAACCTTTGCCCATACATATGTTGCAAATTTCACAAGCTTTCCTAACTGGGCTCATCCATGTCCATTGAACTACTTGACAATTTGTTAATTTCTGGAGCAATTGTTGGAAATCATGGTAAAGCGTAGTCATTTTGTCCGTATAATTCACACAGTTGAAGTTTCCTATGTTAAAGTGAAATAAATCCCGTGTTTTACTGATGTTAAACTTTAAAAGAGACAGACAGAAGGTAGTTGAAAAAGATTTACAAAGACAATAAAAAATGTCATTCATTATACGAATCAATTGTATGCTTTGCTGAGATTTTTTCGAAATGAGCAACAAATCGAAAAATTCCACCCAACTTATCGAGCAATAATTAAATTTGCCCCCGTGTTCGCAACTGAGAGCCAATAAATTCCGGGCGAGGACTAGTCGAATATTAATTATGACTGGGATGCTGATTATTTATAGGTAGCCATGTAACATCTGATGGTAAACAGGTCTACGCCACTGCGGTTTTATTTACAATGGGACGTTTACTTGTTCGGTTTGTCCGGTACCGACAACTAACTCGAAAAGGAAGGAAAAAAACGCGAACGATTCGTCGTATTTTATTAAATAACCCCGATGTCAAAAAAGGGAAGTCGTAAGTAGTGAGAGTTGCCCAGAACGATTTGATTCCAGTCATAAATAAGAATATTTGTTAGCAGCTAAGTAAGTATCTAAAAGAGTCTCCAGACTCTCCACCACTAAATGAATTTTCTATTTTTTGAAGAGAATGAAATTAGGACGACACTGTGCAATCACACAGAAATTGAATTAAATACAGTACAAGAAGAGGCCATAAAACCAGTAGGAAATGTTTACCATAAAACGTATCTGTTGATTCCAGATTGAGACCAAGAAAAGCGCACTCATCTATTAACTTTGTAAAATTGATTATTTATTATTATTATATAATTTATTTGTTAGACATAATTCAAACCATTTACTCTATATAATCGCTTTTCTTCCATTATTGAACAGACATTCTCGGATGGGTAACACGTAGTTGAGTTGAAAGATTAAAGAACTCCATGCATGGAGCAAAACCTGGAATGGCAATAATTGTTTCAATAATTGAGCATTTTTTTGTCATATTAATGAGAGATTAAACAAAAAATAATTCAAGTGTTTAACGGGTTTTATTTTATTTATTTCCCTTCTCATAAAAAAATTAAACTCRTAATTTTCGGCTAAATATAGAAGAAACAAATGCAGACGGTTGCAACATGCAAGGTACGGTGCAAGTTCTATGTCACAAAGGCTTCCAAGACCTGTTTTAAACCTATCAGTTCTCAATAGCAAACTATTTTCATCAAACGTGCAGTCGTTTCCTTTTGTTTGAGTTTCCTAATGTTTTATATTTTATTCAATATTTTGTTTTCAATGTTTTGTCTTTGTCAAACATCCACTCTGGTAAGTTTCATAAATAGCTTTGCCTTCATTTCATTTATTTTCGCAAAAACAATCCTTTGGAATTCAACCAGAAAAATAATGAATGTTCATTGTCCGTCCGAGTTGAAAACAAAATTTCTAGAAATCAGTAAAAAACAAATAAATTATATATAAATATTAAATTTTGCTTCTTTGTTTAAATAAAATAACTGTTTTCCAAGTAAATTTCTCAACAAAAAAGAACTAAATGGTTAGGCATGGAAAGGTAAGGCAATTTCCTTCACTTTCCAAATCAAATCGAAAATAAATTACTTAGCAAAAATTACATTAATGTAATATACCGAATGGCAAATTAAAAATGCGACATGCTTCGTTCCAGACATTCAAATGCCTTCAGGCATTTTACGACTCTAAAAATGAACATTTTCAAAAATATTTTGGCTTTTTTCAAATCAGCAGAAACGACCTAAAAATAACAATCAACTTTATTAAAGATAAAATTAAGTATGTGAAAATGCCCATGAACAGATCTAGAAAAATATTTTTTGGAAAGAAAGCTGAAACACTTCCAATCACTTTCACCGCTAAACGGCCTTTGATTTGGTGTACCTCGAGATAGATAACGCTTTGAATTACGACCCGATAAAATATAGTGAAAAGTCAATATAAAGTCAGTAAAAAAGAAAGAAAATCGCAGTGTTCGATCGAGGATAATAAGAATAAAACGTAATAAAGCTTGTCCTATGGCGGTGTTGGCAGGGCATTATCATAAGTTTATATTTTGGTTCGATCCTTATTTATTTGTCTGTATATCAAAATAATTTTGAATGTAGTTATTTCAGACACGCACACGATGTAAAGTTTAAAATATGATACGTTGCTCATAACAAGTTGCCAACTTGTTTCTCTACCAGCAGTGCGTACGTAATATTTTTATCGAAAAGTGGCAGAGATTTATCAGTTGAGCTTAGTAACATGATTTTATTGATAGAGACTTATTACGAACACTATCTGGTTATGAGTGTAGTTTGAAGATGCTTGTAATGCCTAATAACTTGCCTTAATTCCTATCCTTTACGCCCAACTTCCTGGTTCTACGCCACAGACTCCAAATGATAGATCATAAATTTGCCTATTTTCTGCCAAGCAATCTGGGAATCATGTAAAACGGAGAGGCTCGACCGAACAATTAATTTTCCTAATCTGCACAGCATTTCTCAGGCAATAATGGCATTAATGGCAAGTTTAAACAGGCCTACTAACATTTGCTAGCTGGGCCAATGAGGCACATTTTAAAAAGTTTCATGCCTATCGCTTCTAACTACCTTCAAGTGTTATAAACTATCGCACTGCTCAATCACCAGTTTATTCATCCTGTTCGTCGTTTTGGCAGCACCGAAGAATGAGAATTCCAATCTAGAAATGTATCTCCTCGGCGAAAATATTTCAATATATCTTCATTTAGACCGAAGAGTCGAGGAAACGTGTAGGTTCGAGGGAAATCAGACATGGATAATACATATCTTTATGCTAAGTATCTTCTTTCGATCTAGCACGAAGTCGCGTTGCAAAATCACGTCCATTTGAAATGCAAAGTTGCTACACACACACAGGGAGGAATCGAGTGCTATTGGACACGAAGTAGTCGTTAGACGGTTAGAAAAGTGTGAATTCCTGAAAATGGATTAAGGCTGTGATTGGTGGGGTCACTGTTTACTCGACTGAAAAAATCGACACATTAAAGACAGTTAGAGGAAGTTACAGTTCAATATCCCTTGAAAAGTGTCTTAAGCAGAAACTCTTTGGATAAGCCAATCTAGTAACTCAGATTTTGTATAGAATGCGATATGGTTCTTAACTGGTAAAACACAGTTTAGCTGATTCCTTGTTTTGTTGAATTCTGTATAGCTTTGCTTATTTAAACTCATGGCTGGTAAATGACAAATACATTGTTAGCTGCAGCCAATGAAGCGAAAGCATCTTCACCGCTAGTCTAAAAGTGATACCGTTCCCCTGAACAGTCACAATGTTTGTGATGGGCCCCTAGCGAAAATCGTAAACATACATGCACAATCTAGCAGCTACTGTGCTCGCCACTTATCTCAGCTAGATCGTGAATTCCTGCGTTATCGATTGTTCGTTACGTGGAAGCTGATGAAACAGAAAATCAAGTGTAAAAACAATGGAAAGCATGCGGGTGCAGTTAAGTGGAACGTCGAAAGCCGCGTGCTTCAGAGAGCATAACGTTTCACACAAGGCTGATAGTCCCATTGGGACACCTTGAATAGGCCCCATTTTTACCATGCGACTACTCGAAATCTATTATTTTGCTGGGATAATCCTCGCATGATCGGTCAAAGCGACTGTTGCTAGTGAGTGAGAGAAGCTAAATGGAATGGAGTTGTAAAAACGAGACGTAAGTTTGATTCTGAGAGGCTGATGAAGGTAAATCTGTATAAGGAAGGAAGGAAGCGGGTGTGTACACACTGAAGAAAATTCAATCACGGGAGATGTAAATTTGTATTATAGTGTGTATATAATTCTGTGTGTGGTTTGATTCAACCCTTTAATATAAAGATGGCGCTTTCAACTGATGAAGCGCACACATGCCAAACAGCGAAAAAACAAAAAAACACACGACGGGAAACGGACCAATATGAAACTGCTTCCGTCGTGTGTTTTTTGTGTTTTTCCCACCGCCCTACCGCTGGTTGGCATGCTTCGTTCTGCACTCTTACGGTCTGCTTATAGTTTCACGAGTTTTTACTTCATTTGATTCTATTTATGCTCTTGACTCCCCAAGGGTGCTTATCTCTACTTTTTGTATTTCCAGAGGCCCTCATGATGACTTAGCAGTCGAAAGCGCTAGGCCATCTTTACATTCAAAGGTTGAATTAAACCACACCCAGAATTATATATACACTATAACACAAACTCTTGTTATTGGAAATCTGCATAAGTCCGAAAGAAAGTTTAGAAAATGGACTAAAAGTTTTTGTAGTCCAAAGACCGTTTCCACTATTGCTACAAATATCGGCACCTCACGATGAAACACCCTGGATAAGCTGAAGAACCAGCCAATGAAAAAGACCAGTAGAAGCACCTATGAAATGGGTTGTGTGTTAAAACGTAAGTCAGCCAGAGGATTTATAAAGTTACTTGTTTCAGACTTATCCGAAAAACATCTTTTGTGTTTTCTTGTGAGTTTTATATCTCGCAATCTTTATATCTCGTTAGACAATTTCAATCATTTTCGTCCTTTATAGTTTGTTGTTATACATATAAATACGTTTTTATTATTGAAAACTCCTATCCAAACTCGGAGCTCTAGAAATTAAATAAATGAAAGTTAATGAAAAGTTATAGTCGTTTTTCGTTTATGCAATAATTCAAACTTCCGTCTGTTTCCCCGTTAAAACATTTTGCAAATATTCTATCTAAATAATCGTCATTTTAAATTGTATTCCGATTTTTCGTTGGATTTCCTTCGGTCTTCATCATTTCGCTTAACTCACAATTTGCCTCTCAAAGTTTTTTTCAAAAGTTTGTTGTTTTGTTTATGTATTCGACTGTTTTTTATTGCTTCAACTGGAAGCGTCCAAAGCAGAAGTTCGTGTCATCAAAGCAGAAAAACAAACAAATTACGTTGAAAGATAATTTAATGATATTTATATTATTATTCCGTGTTATTAAAATATATTCCAAAATTAAAATCAAGTCCTGGGTTCTTCAGTCATTTATTTATTGTTCATTTATCAATTTAAAAAAACGTTTCGGTGTTTTCCACCATCATCAG